CTGTAAAGGAGTGTTCTACTCCGTAGTCCAGCAGTGCACTGATACACTATGTAAAGAGATATTGTAAGTATAATTATTATGCGTACTGCTAAGGAGTGGAATTCTCTGCCAGAGTCTGTATTTCCTGAAGGGGAAACCTGAGTGTCTTCAAGGCCCGAGTGAATAAATTGCTTATGGGACGACGTGCTCCATGCATTATCGCTTACCACCAAACGAATTAGTCGTCAAACGTCGGCTTGTGCGAAGTGCGACTGCCGAACAAGGGAACGAACGGTTCGATTCCCATGTCGGGCAAAGTATTATTGGGTTTTTTTTAAAGATCTTAGTAGTAGCACGGAGTTTGCATTTGTGCCCGGCATATGGCAATAGGCTCACCCCCTATTACATGGGACCCATAACATAAATAATGAAAAGTGGGCGTTACATTGTACAGTGGCATTAAGTACCGTAATGTGCACGGTGTGGTATGTTACGTTTTGTTACAAAAATTTAGTAATTTATTTATGTAGGTATATTGTAAATATAACTTTCAGACATATATATCTAACTTTATCAATCTAACAGAATATTATCGATATATCATTTTACTAATAATAGCCCCCACCCCCAAAATACACGGTTATCTTCTAAGTTACTTCCATTAAGTTATACAATACCCTCGGGGCTAAGTTGGGCAAAGTTAGATGGTGCTCTCCGCACACCGGCGATTTATGGTTGTAGCTTGATGGAGCATTTTTGAGTCTCACATTCATAATTTGCTTTGTCATAGTTAGAAAATGAACCAGGTGAAATTTAGTCCTTAGGTAACAAATTAAAGTTTTACGAAGGTAGCATTTGTTTATTTATTTATGTACACAAATACAACATAAAGGACAACACATACATAAAATTAAAGTACACAGTTACCACCTATTCCTATTGGAATTTCTTCCTGTGGACCTGGAGCAGGAAAAGGTAATAATAACATAGTGACACAGTGTGTAGTAACAAATAGAAAATTGGGATAGGAAACAGACTTAAAACTAACAGATAAATAACCAAACAACTACATACAATATATAAATAAATACATATAAATTTTAAACTATACATATAAATGAAGAAATTTACATATCAGGAGGAAAGGTAATGTTCTCTCACTAGTTTTTTAAAGATAGCGATAAACTCACCACGAGACCTTTATGTTACGTTAAGGCTTAGTTGCACTACAGAAAGTACTTATATGTAGTATTAGTTAGTGTCACATTTAACAGTAACTATAACGCTAACTTTAACAATTACAGCAAAATGTGTTGCACCAGCGAATTCAGTAGCTTTGTCAAAGTTAAAAGTATTGCAAGTCAAATGAGGTGTGATTTTCCCCAAATTTGACGTGGGTAATATTTTTAAACATGACAAGACTAAAGATAATCGTAAATAGTATCGAGAATTTCAGTACACTGGACTGATTGTATCTACTGTAGATCGTAGCTTACAGGAGTTGCAGCGGTTTTGGGAGGTTGTGGCGGGCTTGTCCCTTAACAAAACACTGGACTGAAATTCTTAAAGATTTGTCATCGTTAAAGTGAGTTGGTACAACCCAGCCTAAGTATATTATAATTCTTTTGTTACTCAAACAGTTATTGAAATGCTATTATTTTTAACACGGGACGTCAAGTCGATATTCCATTAGAACTAATAAACAGTCCGATTTTGTAACACCGAGCAGAAAATTAAACTGGTGTATTCACTTCTCATAATCTTGATTGGTTAAGTTGACATTGTATAAAGAACGTAGAATAACATGATATTAAAATCACGCCTTTTATCCCCGAAGGAGTAGGCAGAGGTGCACATTATGCCAGTGTACAATGTAACACCCACATTTCACTATTTTTGTTATGAGTCCCATGTAATAGGGGGTGAGAATCCATGTAGATAACTTTCGTACGTTTACTTAATTGTTGTGATTCCAAATACTGACGTATGTAAGAGCTTAATTCATTAAAAGTGGCAAATAATTTATACCACACAAATTAAACAAGGGTAATAATATTTTGGTCAACTTCTCTTAAACAAACTGAACTGCCTGCCTCGTTGTCCGAGTGGTAGTATGTGCGACTGCCGGACAAGGGGTCTCGGGTTCGATTCCCGGGTCGGGGAAGTAATACTAGGTTTTTAAATAATCTCAGTATTAGCACGGCGTCTGAAAAAGTGGATGGCATATAGCAATGCTCACACCATTTTACATGGGACTCATAACATGAATAGTGAGAAGTGGGTGTTACATTGTAAAATGGCATTAAGTGCTGTAATATGCACTACTGCCTCCCCCTTCGGGGATAAAAGGCGTGATGTTATGTTATATCTCTTAAACAACAAAATCATTCCTAAACTATGTTTATTTGGCAAAATCGCAACAAAAACCGCCTAAACACCATTGATTCGAAGTCATTGACACCTTACCTAATCAAATGTAACAATAGGCTTACATTTTACTAGTAACTAATGATTTGAACGTTAAATCAAACGCACCATTTGGAACGACCTTTTGTATCTAAACGCAACGATTTGAAATGATGGTGCCCGACCATCGTTAACTGCGACTGGTAGAGTTAAACCACAGACCAACTGCGATTATTTGTGGTTTGTAGTTAGTGTTACATTTATTTTGTTATATTATGGTATGTAGTGTGATGGTTTTGAAGTTAGGGTTTTTGATTTTTAGTTTAACCATGACGAGATTGCTAGTGAAGCAGAGCACGAGTGTTCGTGTTTTCCTTATTAATCTTTATTTATAAAAGTATTGCGGTTTTATCCAATAAGTATAATATTTTTATAACGCGATTCTTGCCCTTGTGGATTCACCGCACCCGGCAGGCCTCGACCTACTACTATATTGCGGCAGGTCCCACCACGTAGCAGCCCTCAAAAGTTGCAATTTCGTTCCTCGAGTGGCGCGCGTGGAACACAATATATGTCGCCTGTCCCATACAGCGGACGACTGACTCCCCTAATCAGTCGGCCGCAGGTGTCTCCTATGGAGGTCGCAGCGTTGACGGCCGGCGCGTCTACGGATCCAACAAGAATATGCCAATTATGCCAATTATGCCAATAATGCTAACTCCATCGTAACTTATTCAATCGTACAGGCAACTTACATTACAATCTCACATAATTACGTTATACCTAGACTAACAAAATGTACACTGAATTTACACTTTGAATATTAACTTTATACTTCAATCCATAAATGCATGTGGAATGAGGTATAGGTATGTTCTTTAGGCCATACAATTTTAGTCACTTAACACCCTATTAAAATTTGGTTAATTCTTATTTGATTATTCTGATGTCAGACCAAATGAAATAATAACTTGACTTTACTTTTCTGCAGAAAAAAAATTGTGCTTTAAGGTGCTCTCTCACCGGGAGCATTCGCGTGTAATGTAACGTTACAGATCTGAGCATCACATCAGTGAAGGAGGAGAACCGAGCATTTCAATGATACAATGTTTAATCTTGATACAACTTGTAACATCAATGTCTGACATCTTGCTATGAAATGCTCAAAGTCGAATCTATATGTTACATTACACGCAAATGCTAGTTAGCCAGGGAGGTATTATTGTAATGTAATGCTCATAGTCGAATCTAGAGGTATAATGTTACATTACACGTGAATGCTCCCGGTGAGGGAGCACCTTTATATACCATTTGCTTTTATAAGAGAACTGTAATTATTAATATAGAAACCAAAGTACAACAGACGATATCAAGATTGTACTAGTATGTTTAAATAAACGCACTTTATTGTAATCTAAGGCCTTCTACAATGTTATTTTATCTCAGGACCCTTACTGGGGCCTCTGTCAATTTAACTCCGATCTATTTTCTTAGGATCTTGTTAGTAGACATCAAGTAATTGGATAAAGGGCAAAATTATTGGATCGACTCTTAAAACAATTAGTTATTCGTTACTTGGGGAATATTGAGAGAGGATAACTAATCTTTAGCTGAATTATTATTCAATGATAGTGCTTGGTAAGTAATGGTAATGGAAGTTGAATAGTTATGTTCTTCGAGTGGGTTGTTTTTACATAAATGTAGGTCGATTGCTGAGGAAAATTTTGGAGTATCCTCAAGTATAAGTTATTCAATATTGGAAGCTAGCTAATTTGTTTAATATAACAATGATACTCGTTAACTGTAGTAGGTACAGTACCCTATACCAACGAGCTTGCATGAAAAGTTGATGATTGTTGATGAAGCAAAAGAGGTATGTAGGAATCGTACCAATTGGCGTTTCAGTCTCCTGCCTACCTTCATGGGAGACAGGCGTAAAGTTGTGTATATATGTATGATACTCCTATCATTACAAAACTGTTGCAATGTAAAATCGTGCACATAGTACAACTTCATTATATCGCCCAAAACTTTGAATTAACAATTTAATAGTTTATAGCCTAACAATATAATTAATAGTCTTTCTGATCTGTCAAATAAAAAGTCCAATCCAATAAAAATATCCCAAAATCCGGCTAAGCCTACGACTGCCTATGGAACATAGCCATCTATTACACGGGATTTGAAATTAGCCACATACGAATTCCCCTTATTAATCCGAAGGGACAGGTGATCTTTTTGGCAAGATTGATTACGGTCAGCGTGTTACGAATGTAATTATGTAAAGCCAGCTTAATTTTAATGCTACTTAGGTTTTAATTTGGATAGAGGTAAATTATTTTGTATTGTTTATACGGTGATGAGTATCGTTAATTTGCCATAATATTTTATTCATAATTTATTTATTGATGACATAAATTTATATTGGTGAAGATTGAAGGAAAATCAACAAGTTATTAAATAAACAAATATAACAATTTTATTCATAAATTTTTCAACAAAAAACAATTAACAAAAAGTTATAAAAAATCGTAAGAAATATTTATATTAGTATCACAGTCTGATTTGGTTACTTAATGCTTTCCATGATGGAATCCCCAGTCCTTATGGTCGTCATGACCGCCCTTCTTGCCATGATGATCATGATGGTGATGATGGCCTTCATGGCCATGGTGACCGTGGTGTCCATGGTGGTCGTCATCATGATGGTGCTTGTCATGGTGTCCATGTTTACCGTGATGGTGCTCGTGATGTCCATGTTCATGATGACCACCCTTCTTGTGGTGTCCTCCTTCATGTCCATGGTGTCCATGATGGTGACCATGTTTGTGGTGCTTGCCTTCTTTGTGGTCGCCATCGTAGAAGTGATGGTCCTTGTGGAAGGTATCCTTATGGTATTTCTTGTGGTAACCGTCGGTCTTCTCACCCTTGTCATGGTGTTCATGGTGGCCATGTTTACCACCCTTGTGATGGTGTCCATGTTCGTGATGATGGCCATGGTCATCGTGTTCATCCCAGTGCTTCTTGTGATGGCCGCCATGTTCGTGGTGATGCTCTCCATGGTGGTGTTTGCCATGGCCGCCGTGGTCACCCTTATGGTGATGGTGGTGTCCGTGATGGCCTTTGTGTCCCTTGTGTCCATGTTCATGATGATGATGACCATGGTGCTCCTTGCCGCCGCCCTCTTCATGGTGGCTGCTCTTCCCACTGGCTGCTGTGACGAGGTCCTTCTCTTCCTCGCCCAGTTTCCGAGCGTAAGCTACGGCTAAGCACAAAACTGCTACTGCTACTAACAATTTCATGTTTGGTGATTGACTGTGCTGATCTGTTATCGTAGAAGCTATTTATAGTTCTGAATTTGTTAGGATGATGAGGAAAGTGTTGGGTAAGCGTCGGAACATTTCAGGGTCAAGAGTCAATGACTTCCGTTCAGCGAGTGTAATGTTAATGTTTTCAGGATTTTCATGATTTCAGAATTTTGTCATGATAATGTGTGAAAAATTATGATATTTTTTTATTATTTTTATTTTATGTTCGTCTGAAAATATTTAAAAGTATCTCAAACTATTATTATCGTTACACATGTCTTAATTATTTTGATAAATAAATAAAAAATCGTACTTCCTAAATTTGTTATTGTTGGCATACATTAATTAAATATATGCAAAGTGATTAAATAATAATATGGTTGCTTCATTGGTTGCCTAATCAATAAAACAAGTTGATGTTATATTAATAAGCTATATTCAAAATCCTTGACTACACCATACTTTTTACTCATACCTCTATCAAATCTTTTGAAATTTCATTTCCTTCCTGTTACCTTTGACAATATATTGCAATATAGCATTCCTCAGTGACTAGTCTGTCGTCAATCAATTATAAGACCTTGACACTGCTGAACTTCTGTAGAACAGTATAAAACTGGCTCGGGTTTCCAGTGGGTTTCCAAAACAATCACCAAGCAAAGAGATTTTGGTTTGATTTTTCTGGATTCAATCAATGGTGGGTATTATTGTTGTTTTTTTAATTAGTAATATAATTTTTTCCGTGATTTTTAACATAGAAATTGGAAAATTGGTTAAAGATTATCAATGTGGGTATGTGTTTTTCTGCCTACCTTATTGTTAGGAGTACAAAATCTATTATATTGTGGATTTATATTATTCAACTATTTACTATTTAATTAAACGTTAAACATTTCTATGTTTAATTCTTAAAAACTTTAATTCTTTAAAGTAACAACATAATGTGCTGCACGGTTGACACAGTAGTAGGTCAAGTGGCTGCTGCACAACGTGTTGCGGGTTCGATTCACGCGCCGAACAACTTTTTGTGTGACCCACAAATTATTGTTCCGGGCCTGAATGTGATGTATATGTAAACGCATTTACGATACAAGAGAAAATCTTAGTGCGAGGAAACTTTTTTTAATGTAGTTTCAAATCTAAAGACTGGAAAATACAATGGATCTCTTTTTAGAAATGAGAATATTTAGTTAAACGTGCCTCGTATTTAAGCTGTTCGTAAATGTTGTGTATTGAGAAAATAAATGCATTGCGTTTCTTGTTTCAGTGTAATATTTACATACCTACATCATGTAATTATAGAATACTAGCTTTTATCCGCATTAAATTTGAATGAAGTGTCCATTTGAAGAAAAAAATCACAACACAATTAGGTGAGTAGTTTTAAAGATCAACATTGATACAGACAGACAGCGCAAGGCGGTCAAAAGCGGTAAAAAGAGTACAAACATTAAAAGTCTAGGTTTTCTCAAAACGTTTTCTATTCCCATATATCTCAATGGTGTCTCAATTCAAAAACGGCACGTCCACGGCATCATGACATTGTGGGAGTTACATCGTTCATTCAAACTCAATCGTATCGACAACTCTGTAAAGCATGAAGACAAAAGTCTTTAACAAGTCAGTGATATACGGAACCGAGACGTGAACACTAACAGTGAGGCTGGTCCACCAATTCAAAGTGGCGCAGCGAGCTATGGAGAGGGTTATGTTCGAAGTTTCTCTGAAGCACAGGATTCGTACCGTGGTGATCCGACAGAGAACTAAAGTTACCAATGTAGCGCAAAGGATTAGCAAGTTAAAATGGCAGTGGGCCGGTCACATTTGTCGAAAAACCGATGACCGCTGGGGTAGACGTGTTCTGGAGTGGAGACCGCGTCTAGGCAAAAATAGTGTAGGGCGCTCTCCAGCTAGGTGGAGTGACGATATCCGCAAGGGAGCTCAGTGGCATAGCATTGGAGAGGCATATGTCCAGCAGTGGACGAGAACCGACTGTTGATGTTGTTGTATTTATGTATCGTCAATATATTGTAGGTATCCAGAAGGAAAATGGTATCGGTATAATAACCTGGAACGTTTTAATTTTTTTTTTTCAAATATGTTTACGGGATCAGTATGTCTAGGTCAAAAATGAATTCTCTTGAAAAAGAGACCACATAAGAATGATAATGTTGTTTCAATAAATTATCTTCTTTAAAAAAACGTTGCCCCACACTAGGATTTTCTCCTGTGTCGTGGGTGCGTTTACAAACATACAATTTCACATACACATAACACCCAGACCCGAAACAAGAATTTGTGGATCACACAAAGAGTTGTTCCGTGCGGGAATCGAACCCGTGGCACGTTGAGCGCCAGCCAGTTGCCCGGCCACCGCGCCAACCGTGCAGTCTGAATAAATGAATGAAAACAATCAAAAGGGAATAATAATTATAGAAATCAAGTAATGTGCATAAAAGTAGGTAGTAAAAACATTCCAGAAAATATTTACAGCAGCTTTGATGCAGCATACGTAAAAGAAGCATACGGTAGAGATAAGGTTGTTGTAACACAATTGTATAATTTGCTTATTTTTTATAACATTATATGTTCTAATTTTCATCATTCGACCATTGGATGATATTTTTGACATAATAGAAACTAGACAGAATCTAGACTAGCATGGCTTTTGAAGTTCAATGCTCCGAAGACCATGGTCTACTTAGGAACAGAAGTTTTATTTCGTTTATTCATACTTTATGTTATTTATCCAAATCTCAGATTACTCTTCGGGTATCTTTATATTTCCTTATTTTAGGTTCTTCCACTTTTGAGATGTAATATTCTCATTCAATTACATAAAATAACTCATACAATTACTTTTTTGTAACATTTTTTCTTTTACCTAATTTTCCTATAATCTAGTAAGATTATTGGAATGCTATCTCCAAGAAAAGTATTTCTTGGAGATAGCAATATAACAAAATTTTAACAAGTTTGTAAAGTACCTACATTATTTTTACACGCCGATGTTGAAGGCAATATAAGAGGACCTAAGCTATTATAAAATGACACCTATCTGTACCTTATTTACGCAAATAAATACTTTTTGAATTTGAATTTGAATTTATGCTGATTCTACGTAGGTATGAGTCAAATTCCAGTTTAGATGGAGATACCTACGTGTAACTAATATCAGCTGATTAATTAATTATTTTTATAAGAACTTTCTAAACTACAACACGGTCATCAGGTCAACAAAACAGATCAATAGAAATATAACAATTTTATTCGCACATTTTTGTAACGAAGCTTATTCAATAATTTATAAAAAACTAACAAAAACCCGTAACAAAAATATAAAATAATATCACAGCATATTTTTGGCATCTCAATGTTTTCCATGATGGAAACCCCAGTCCTTGTGGTCGTGATGACCTCCCTTCTTGCCATGATCATGATGATGATGGTGGTGTTCTTCATGGCCGTGGTGTCCCTTGTGTCCTTTGTGGTCTTCATCGTAGTGATGTTTGTCATGGTGTCCATGTTTGCCATGATGGTGCTCATGGTGTCCATGTTCGTGATGACCTCCCTTCTTGTGGTGTCCTCCCTTATCTTCATGGTGTCCGTGATGTTTGCCGTGCTTGTGGTGCTTGCCTTCCTTGTGATGGTCGTCGTAGAAGTGGTGGTCCTTGTGGAACTCGTCCTTGTGGTATTTCTTGTGGTAACCGTCGGTCTTTTCACCCTTGTCATGGTGTTTGTGATGGCCATGTTTGCCACCCTTGTGGTGGTGTCCATGCTCGTGATGATGTCCATGATGATCATGCTCATCCCAGTGCTTCTTGTGATGGCCACCATGTTCGTGATGGTGTCCTTCCTTGTGGTGTTTTCCATGGTGTCCATGTTCACCTTTGTGGTGGTGGTGATGTCCTTTGTGACCTTTGTGTCCCTTTTCACCGTGTTCATGATGATGGTCGGCGTGGTGTTCATGACCACCGCCTTCTTCGTGATGATGGCTCTTCCCACTGGCCGCTGCGACGAGGTCCTTCTCCTCCTCGCCTAGCTCACGAGCGTAAGCCGCCGCTAGGCATAAGACCGCCACTGCTACTAACAGTTTCATGTTTGTGACTTGACTGTGTTGATCTTGTTTTGTCGAAGCTATTTATACTTAGCTCTTAGTTTGGATGATGAAGAAAGCGTTAGGCAAGCAACGCAACACTTCAGGGACAAGATCGAGACAGCCGGTGGAGCGTTACACCGATTGCTGGGACAGTAGAAATTACATTTCAATATAATTTGCCACAGTTGTGCACAGTAATTGTATTTCTAATTTGATATTATTTACATATAAAACGATAATAACTTTAGCATGCTTCTAGGATTAAAATTTTCACTAAAAGTAATTATCATACTTCTTCGTATTTGCAATCATTTTTTATGGTTATGTTAAAATGACTGACTTATTAATGACTAAAATTTGATTACCAATAGGTACATTTTTTATATAAAATGATTTTAAACTCTATACTAAATCAATTCGATTCATAAAATAATATTGACTGCTAATGTCTTTGCTGTCAAAAAGATTTCAATAAAAATATTTCTAGCTCGGTATACTTCAATTTTTCCGGTGCTGCATAAAAAGAACAATCTGCATTTCTCTGTCAAAATTTAATCAAAACAACAATACGGATTGTCCGCACTCTGGTACCGGCTTTGAGGGCTTATTCTGAATACCTAGTAAAAAGTAAAGAATAGATTTTGGATCTTTTACTTTAAATTGATGGTTGGTCCTTATGTTTCAATTCCAATCTTACGTTTTAAGTGGATAGAATATAGTAATGATTGTATATTAAAATTGTTTTATTTTATTACAAAAAATCAAACTAATTTTCAGTAACTTTTAGAAATAAGAAAATAAAAATTAATATGTATACCTTAAAATACACTAAAACTAATAGAGAAAATTTAATAGTGAAAATGAAAAGAAAAGGAAAGAAAACATTACATTTGTTAAAATTAAATACCTAACAATTTTTAACAGTTTTATTTCCTTTAGTATGTTCATTTCTGTCAGTCACTGGTAAAAACTCTTAAGCCCAAAAAACTGGTTACATTTCGTCGTAACGCTAAAATAGTCTTAATAAAAAATAACGAGCATGCTTTTACAGATTGATAATCGGAGAAGCGACTGTTGCATACCAGAACTGGTAAGTGTAACATTCCACTGACTTCGTTGCCTACTTTGAAAAGTATCTACTTATAATAATATTGGACACAATTGTGTCATAAAAATATAATAGTCAGATATTGATCTATATTATAATTGGGATGATGACAGGGTATGAAAATTAAAAATAGATGTATAATTAGTCCGTAAGTTAGGTAATGAAAAAATATTAGACAGGTATTTTTTTATTTTGTCGTTTAATAAAATAATACTTAGATAAAACGAATCAAAGTTTGGGAGTGGGGCTAAAACGTCATTTCTACAAAATTTATGTACGTAGAAGTGACGTCACGCGACATTTCAAATCAATATATTGTCGAAAGTATTCGTTTCTGTAAGAAAGTAAAAAATAAATTAAAAATAAGTTACTATTATTGGAAATTAATACAATAATATCACATTTATATAACAAAATACTCATAATATTATTATACTGATACATTACACACATAACATCACGCCTTTTATCCCCGAAGAGGTAGGCAGTGGTGCACATTACGGCCATTAATGCAACTACAATGTAACACTCCATTTTCACTATTTATGTTATGAGTCCGATGTAATGGGAGGTGAGCCTATTACCACATACCGGTGATACCATTCACCATTTTTTTTAAAAACCCATTAGATATGATACATCACAGAATTGGCATAATTTACATTATTTAACACGTAGTCTCGGAATCATATGCGAAGCATGAAATGTTGAGAGGTACATGTTATTATTTTAAAGAGCAATGAACTTAAGACCATGGTCACACTTTAAACATCATTATTTACTTGTTAGTGACGTCGTGACGTCATATAGTTGTAATTTTCAATAGGTTGATGTTTGTATACAGTTAGACAGAAATAGGCTTCGTTTATTTTTTGCGATGTCAAATGCGTCAATGGATAACTGTGTATTGACTTGCTTTTTTTTGTGTATCTTCATCTTCGTTTTTTGAAGTATTAAAAACGCATTGCATGAAGAGACTTTTGACTTAACTACTAATAGTTTGTAAAAATTTAAAATTGCACATAATATAAGTGTAGGACTATTATTGTATAATTAGAACAAATGAGATTTCAATTAATACAATATTGTCAATTGTTTACCGAAAGGTATAAAATAAATTCCATTACGATGTAGTAACAAGGATTGAAAGGGGAATGTTACGATGGTTTAGACATGTAGAAAAGATGGATGAAAGTAGAGTAAAGAAAGAAGTACACAGAACGGATATGAATGGGACCGTCGGTAGAGGGCGCCTTAGACGGACATATGTATGTATACCGACCAGATTGACGATATATTAAAGAAGGGTCAAATTAAAAGGACCCTTAACTGAAGAGCATGCCTGAAAAGACTGATGACTGTTGTGGAAGCGAAAGAGGTATGTAAGAATTGTAGCAATTGGCGTTCCATAGTCTCTGCCTACCCTCATGGGAGACAGGCGTGAGATTATGAACGTATAGACTAAACCGTTGGCACGGTGGCCGGGCAGCCGCGCAACGTGTAGTAGGTTCGATTCTCGCACGGAGCAACTCTTTGTGTGATCCACAAATTGTTTTTTCTGGTCTGGGTGTCATGCGCATGTAAACTAGTATATTTGTAAACGAACACCGCAGAAGATCCTAGCGTAGGCGGGAGCAGTCATTCGATGATTTTCCCCCCTTAAAAAAAAAAAAAAAAAAAAAAAAAAAAAAAAAAAAAAAAAAAAAAAAAAAAAAAAAGCGTGGGACAACATTTTAAAAACAAAAAAATCAAAAAGAAATAGTTCAAACTCAAATAATATTTAAGTCATAGGGCATCGACCATTTAATAATATGCATCTAGTTCTAATCTAGTTTTACTGATGACACATCAATCAAAGGTTGCCTGGTAGATATCGCTTTTAGCGATAAGGCCGCCTTTGTACCCTATTTTCTTTATTTGTTCCTTGATATACTGTCTCAAATTGGTGTACAATAAAGATTATTTATTATTATTATTATTATCAATGACCGATAAATCGGTTTTTAACCTTGACCGAGTAAGCTCGGTGAGATTTTATTAAAAAAAAACAACATCGAACTCGTTTTGTTCCTTCCGCTGCATTTTGTTTCAGGGTCATGCATGATTCGTTCCGTTTGTTTTATTTGGTCTATAAGTAAATAGTTTTTCGTACGATTGTGAAATTGTCACTAATAGTATGGAATCTAGAAATATAATCATAACATCACGCCTTTTATCCTCGAAGGGGTAAGCAGAGGTGCACATTATGTCGCTGTACAGTATAACACCTACTTTTCACTATTTATGTTATGAGTCCCATGTAATAGGGGGTGAGCCTATTGCCATATACCGGGCACAATTCCAGACTCCGTGCTACTACTGAGATTTTTTTTAAAAACCCAGTAATACTTTGCCCGACCCGGGAATCGAACCCGAGACCCCTTCTATAAATATTTATCTAGAAGAGAAATCTAGAAATATAAGTTGAGAATAAATGTTGAAAAAAATACACTTTTATCAATCAATATGCTCGTTATAAAAAAGGTTTAAGATTTTTCAATCATCAGTTAATTCTTAAATGTGGAACAATATTGACATATTAGTATGGAAGAATTGTCAAATATTTAAAGTTATTCCTCAGTAAAAATTTATCTGAGTATTTAATTCGTTTTCATTTTATGCTTCGATCTCACGATTTTAATTTGAACGTGTTTGATATAGCTTTATTTTTTTAAATAAAAATTAATCTTTTTTTCTGTAGTTGTAAAAAAACGTCGACTATTTTAAACCAGAATACGGCCGCCTCTCAAAGAGGCTTCCGTCCAACGACCCTTTTGGGACCGGGTACACTGGGCCCACCTACCGAGCAAATATTTTTGAACTCCACTACACTTTGTATTCCTAACTAGAACTACATGTTAGGCAGAGTGGCTCTTTATTTTCTTTAATCGAATATACGATTAGGAGGGACAGGATTGGAGTGGTTGGGTATAATCAGTAGGCGGGTCGATAGTTGTTTAAATAGTACCCGAGTGTTTAATGGCATCTGTGTGTGTTTGCAAAAATGTTTGTGAACTATTTTGATGAATCAATAGATCAATAGAGTTACAATATCAGAGACTTACAGACACCTAAAACGAAATTGAATCTGTTTCTATTTACAGGGCATGATACCAGGCTACGAGTCATGATACATAAACAAATTTTGGAAACCGAAACCTTCAAAAATGTCCAGACGACTCAGAATTCAACCACAAAACTTTTAATTATTATTATAACTGTTTGACGAGGAAATCGACTAGTTTCAAGCCATGCTAGAGGCTCATATTTATGAGCAGTATTTTGCGACCTGCGACGCGTTGACTATTGCGCTGGTACTGGCTGCTCGACTTTTCGGCCTCTAGCATGGCTTGAAACTGGTCGAGGTCGATACTTTATTAATTTTGTATGTCTCACGAAAGTTTGAATACAAACAGAAAACTTTTGCTTTCAGTATCTTTGGCGACTAAAATATCAAAAAGATAATCCAGAAATCTATAAAATACCTAGTAAGCCATTTAAAATAACAACAACTGTTTCCAATGTCATCTCTGATCCTAAATCGAAAGTCACTGTCCCACTATTCACGTACGCTTTTATAGATCAAGAAAAAATACTGAAATTCGCAACAGTTACGTTTGATCGGCTATAAAATCGTCCATAAACCTGTCTGTTTCGATTTATTGAAATAATAAAACCGTTAGCAGTACTATAAAGGTATAATTCCTCCCTTTCTGCAGTGAATCTTTCGTGGATTTCTACATGACCTTTTTTATGGAATTAGCCGGTAAACGAGTAGACGAATCACCTAATGGTA